GCGGCGCGAGGAGCAGGCCTGGCGGCCCTCGTCGTCGTCGTCGTCGTCGTCGTCGTCGTCGTCGTCGTCGTCGTCGTCGTCGTCGTCGTCGTCCTTCTCCTCCTCCTCCTCCTCCTCCTCCTCCTCCTCCTTCTCCTTCTCCTTCTCCTCCTCCTCTTCCTCCTCCTCCTCTCTCCTCTCTCCTCTCTCCTCTCTCCTCTCTCCTCTCTCCTCTCTCCTTCCTTCCCTCCCCCGCCCGGGGGCGCCCGAGTGGGCCCTTATCCCCATCACGCAGGGGGACCCCTGGACAAATGTGACTCCCTACTCCCTCCCTCCTCCTGCCCTCCCTCCGTCTTCCCTCCCTCTCTCCCTCCCTCCCTCCCCGTTCGTCGTCGTCGTCGTCGTCGTCGTCCTACGCCTCTTCCTCGTCCTTCTCCTCGTCCGCAGGCGGGCCGCTGGGTGGGTCTGGGCCTGGTGCTCGTGAGGGGCCCGTCAGCTTCTGGCAGTATGGGGTGGAATTCCCTGTGCTGGACCTGTTTCAGGTCGCCCGCCCGCACGTTTTTGAGTCGCCCGATTCGGCACTCGAATGGGCCAGGGAGTTGAGGCGGGCGAAGCAGCTGGCCAAAACCAATGATTCTGAGCGGTGGCCACTCCCAAACGAGGAGGAAACCCAGCTTTGGCCCGCGGTGAAGCAGCGCGGCGAAGTCGCCGATGCACCACTACCACTGCCATTACCTCCTTGGTGTCCTCCTCACCCCTCCTTCCTCCCTTGAAGTACCCGCCCCGTCGCGCCACCAGGCGTGTCCGTCGGCCGGGCCTTGCGTTTCGCGTGAGCCTTCCTTGCGGGCAGTTTGCCAGAGATTGGGACGGTCCTGCAGCGAAGCAACGCCAGAAGCGTCAAGGATGAATGGCCGGTGGTATCCGAAATGCGGCTCTTGCCCTAGCGCCCCGCATTCTTTTGGAACGTTTACAACGTTTGGGCGGATGGGGAGGGGGGGCTTTCAAAATGCGGCTCTCGCCTTGGCGCCGCGCGTGTTCGCCTGAAACAGCTTTAAGGATGGAGGCTACCTCGTTTTCCAAATGCGGCTGTCGCCTAGGCGCCGCCCGCAGTTGTCGTAATGACTCGCAGCAGTTACAATCGTGGAGGGCGCATCCTTTGCAAATCAGGGCTCTCGCTTGTGACTTCCCAGATCTAAGGACTAGAAGCTTGAACACATGTAACGGATGTATAGATGGCTAGCGGTATCTTTCTTGAGGTTTCACCGAATCTGATGACCATACGCGTAGTTCGTAGAACAGTTACACGGGTGGGGGATGGTTTCTGTGTTGCAATTTGCGATCCTACCTTTTCGCAGTCTTCGTCGCTCGCTGGAACGATGCAAGAGAATTCGTTTCCAAAGCGGGGTGCTCGCCTGAAGGGCAGGCCCACAGGGGTGCTTTTCTTTCAATGGGGCGCTTCCCGTAGGGATGAAGCAGGCTTGCATTGACATGATATGAGGGGGGGCTTCGGACGGGAGGATGCATCCGGGGTTACTCTGGCCCTCGTCCTCCTACTCATCCTCCTCGTTCTCCTCCTCGTCCTGCTCGTCCCCAGACAGTGTTTCCCTTTCAGCGTGACAAGCAGCTTTACCGCCCCCCCCCTTTCGAGGACTCGAGCCTCGGCCCTCGTCCCGCATGCCCTCCTCCTGCTCCTCCTCCTCCTCCTCTCTTTTTTTTATTTGTTAACTTCCTTTTTTCTTGCTATTTTTCTATATCTCTTTCTTCATGGATATATGCACCTTCCGCTTTTTCGAATCTTTCTCCCCCCCTCCCTCTCTTCTTTCTTGTCTTTCTCTGCACTGCCCGTCCCCCTTCACATCCTTCTCTCCCTCGCCCTCCCACCTCTTGTGCGACCCGGGGTGCTTGTGCTTGCCAATCTGCGTCCCGATTATCCTGATGCGTCATTTTTTGAGCTTTGCGCGGGCGCTGTGATTACCCCATCCTCCCCTCGCCTCCCATCCCGTCGAAGTAACGGCACTCGCACCTCCCTGACGTCTTCTGCTCCGGAGCGATGCAGAGGCAGGGGCAGAACTCGGCTCCCGGCAGCGGCACCGCTCGCTCCGGCAAGAGCGGTGCCGACAGCTCCCCCCGCAGCGGGACCGGCCGCGTCTCCCATTGGGGCGCCGACTATGATTCCCCCACAGCGTCCGACCGCTCCTGCGGGGCAGGTGGCGCCACACCCGAGGGAAGCGGTGGGAAGCGGTGGCAGTCTTCCCCCCGTCCTTCTGCTTCTCCCTCTTTCTCTCTTCCCCAAGAAGCCTAAGACACGCACAGTGTCGACCGACTGAGCCTGGAACCATTGGAATGGCAGGCAGTCTATCGACGCAGCCTGCTACGATTTAGACTTGAAATGCGTATTTTCTGGAATGGGCGAACGAAAATGTACACTCGAAGCATCCTCGAAGTACACTTGTCCCTGCCTCCCCTACCCATGATTCTTCCCCCCTCCTCCTACCCTGTGAAATGCCTACTCCTCGCTCGG